TTTTTTTTTTTTTGACGTGGCCACTCTGACCCACCCCACCAAAACAGAAAAAAGAGAAAAAAAGGAAAAAAAAGGAACAGAATGCCACCTTTCACTATCTACCTACTGATACTCCAAAGCCTATACAGGGGACCCCTGCAAGGATAGCTGCCTCTCACAAAAAAAGAGGAGAAAAAAGAAAGGAAAAAAAAAAACAGACTGCCACGTGTTGGGCTACAGCACAAGGCCGACCCAGCGAGGCTTTCGGGAATCTTTTGAAGCCGTGTGCTTGATTTCCGTGCGAGTGACATCCCAATGTTCTAGGGCATACTTACTGCAGTTGGCTGTGGACGTGATTCCTCTCAGATGCATTCGAGTGGGGACGCAATTGCAGTCAGATACATTTAGGAAAGTGCTATAAAGAACCTGACGCATCCAGAGCCCGATTACCCGGATACTCTGTTGACCCGGATTCTCCGTTGCTGACTGTTGAAAAATTAACGGCCTGTCGAGTCTCCGATTCGCGCAGTGGACGCCTGTCGAGTCCAGTACTGGCGGCCCGATCAAACCGGTAGGGTCGTACGCTAGATAGATACTCCCGGGGCTCCGTCCCACTTACACGAATTAAGCGATATTGACCGTAGATAGCAAAGATCAACGGCCACAATCTCTTAATCCGTGAAAGTGGGACCTTGCCCCGGGGCTCGGTCCCACCTGCACATTTTTGTCGTAGGAGTATACCACGAAGAGAATGGCGGGCGCCTAAGGACCATGGATTGACACAATCAATGGTCCCTAGACGCCCGCCAGTTGCTACAACGGAAAGGTGCAGGTGGGACCGAGCCCCCGACATGGATGCTGACGACACGGGCATGACGCCTACTGTTGGTTTGAGCTGATAGGCTGATCTTCATGTTTCGCTTCAAATCTGATGATGCGTATCCGGCCGCGTTGGGGAGTTTTTCGTGATCTGACGTGTTGGCTTTCCCATCCTTCGTCTTGTTGTCAGTCCCTGCTATGCATGCTTTCGTGTCGGTCGACAGATGTTAATCTTCTGCATCACTCTTTCACGTCATTCTTTTTTTTTTTTTTTTCGTAGAATAGCCCTTACGATATGATATCCCTCTATCCTGATGGTGGTACGAGAACCGTCTGAATTTCTACGGTTGCCCTCTAATAGCACCTGCCCAGGAAGATATAAAAAATAAATAAATAAAAATAAAAATAAAAAAAATTCTAGCTGATATTGCTTGAATTGGTGTGAAATGTGTTTACTCTTGATGGATGCATGAGATCTACGCAGTACCAGGATCGGAAAAAATCTGGGCAAGCAGCACCTTGGCCACTGGAGGCCGGAGTGGTGCTGATAGTCGGGGTCTCGGCCCACATGCGCCCGTGTAGTTTAAGTTTCTAGTACCTGTGTGACTGTGGGGGAACCACTGTGAACCGTAGATTATCTCACAAACGGAAGGTTGGATTACACATCCCGCCTACTTGGAAGGTGAGCCAGCGGCCTGCCGTTTTGTGATTGGTTGGGGGAGGGAGAGGCACATGCATTGTCATAGTACTCTATGGATTTTTCAGGGGGGTAGTAAACCAAAACCACACGGGATTTTCCTCTTCAGTGAATGCAGGGGGCAAGGCAAGGCCAGATTTTCTTTGTCATCAGAGAATAACTGCAGACAGGTCCAGGCCCCCAAGGATATGGTTTGTCCAATAGGAGGAATAGGACGTTTTTTTTTTTTTTTTTTTTTTTTTTTT